TCCCTGGCCCCCAAAAATGCAGAAGGGTTGTTTTTGTTTTTGTTTTTGTTTTTTGGCAGCTCCAGATTGACTCCAGCGCTGGTCTGGGTTGCCTTGAGTATCTGAGAATCGAACCACCGCTCCCAGAGACTGACTGCCTCGTTTAAGCAGGCACTTAAACAACTGAGCTAATGGGCGGGCCCCCATCTTACTTTCTTTCTAATCGTACACATTTTCCCTTTTACCTCAGTTGGAGTGTAACCTGGGAAAATTGCTGGCAAGTAGTGGGCATATGGTTACATATCTGAGGATCAGTAAATAATTTTTAATACCTGTAAACAGTTGTTTTATTTGTACAAGAGTATTTCCTTGTAGGGAGAAGATCTCAGTCTTCAGATTCTCTGGTTCTTTGGATCATTGATCTGAAAATCATTCAGCAAGAGGATCCTTTTAGAGTTTGTTTCATTCTATATGTGAATCTCTGTAATGTGTAAGTTGTCAAAATAAAAATGGAGTAGTTTGTATTAACCCCAACAAAAAATAAGGTAGATTTTAAGGGTCTCATGCATTATTGCCTGATAATATCTGCCACAGAGGACTGCTAGAAACACAGTTTACACAAAGACACTGAAGCCTGTACAGATGCATTTTCATAGAAGGAATCTCCTAGCAACTGTCTGCTCAAACTTGGACTGACATCATCCTTGTTACTAATCATCATGGCCAAGGATCATCAAAATATCTGATGGAGTGTTCCTTACTTTTACTTATAAAAACTCCCCCTTACCTACATCTCTTTGAGTTGGCCCATAATTAGCAGGGCACACCTTTTTCAATTATGATGCTATGCTATTCTCATTGTGATGCTGTAGGAATAAAGTTTGTTTTGCTTCAGTTATAACCTTTTTGTATTTCAACATCACAGATGTGCCATTTTATAATATAGAAAATCTCATTGATTGCTGAATGATAAATTAATACTATTGAGACAGAGGTCTTGATATCTCTAAAGATCCAGGGCTGATGCTGTTCACAAATACAATGTCCTATGAGGTAGTTTTCATTATTAGCTTTCTTCCCCCTGTACTGAGGATCAAACCCAGAGTGTTCTACCACTGAGCTACATCACCAGTAATTTTTTATTTTTAAAGTTGGAGACAAATTCTTGCTAAGTCATTCATGTGGAATAAGAACTTACAGCTTTCTTATTGCAGCTACTTTCAGTGCTGGGATCATAGGGGCAGGCCACCAAGCCATAATTAGCAGTGACCCCTTGTAAAAGAACAGCCCATTAACTGGACCTCTCAAAATTTCTAAGTTATGGTTAATTTTCATTAACTGTACAAGTAGGGTAAAACTTTTTTTTCTGTATTTAGTACAAGATCTATTGGATCTCACTATGTAGATCGGACTTGTAGTGATTCTCCTGTTTTCAGCCTCCCAAGTGCTAGAATTACAGGCACGTGCCACCACGCCCAGTCTCACTGTCTCAGCACGCCCCAGGGGCAGGCCTGGCACAGCACACTGGGGAATGAACCGCGGCCACTGTGCTCTACCTAAGCAGGCATTTTAGTCTGCTAAGCTATCAGGCTGGCCCAAGGAGGGTAAAATTAATATCTACCTCAGGTTTATTGTGTGGTTAAGTGAGATGGACATATGAACACCTAAAGTGGTGCCGGAACACAGTTGGTGCTATGTGCATGAGCTGTGATATTTCCACCTTGAGGACCTTGCTGTGTGTATGAGCTGTGAGCTACTGTTAGAACCCTGAGGCCATATTTATCTGCAATGTAGGCAGAGAGATATTTGGATAATCACTGAATTAGTGCATAGTAAATAAACCAGAATTTACACTAGAATAAATATTTGTGGTATAATTATGTAATGAAATATATAAAGACATTAAAATTGTGTACACAGAACATGGACACAGTGGTACACACCAGTACTCTCAGCTACTTGGGAGGCTGAGGCAGTAGGATTGTAAGTTTTACATTGAGTTATATCCCTAGCCCTTATTTATGAGACCCTGGAATGTACCACAGTGTAAGTTAGTGGCAGAGTTCATGTCTAGGATGTTCTAAGGCCCTGGAATCAAGCCCCAAGTATTGCAGAACAAAAACAAAAAGGTGACCCAAAGACTTGCACACTCAACTGAGCTCAGTGAAGAAGGTGCTTGAGGAAAAAGGAAGAAAAATGTTAGAGAAAAGTGGGATAAGGTAAGAAACACAAGGAGAAAGGAAAATGGAGTTACAAAGGGAAGAACAATGGGAATATCTTCCACATTCAATAGGAGTTGCTTTTATTGTTCATTTAGTTGAGATGGATTTACTCAGGGAGCCTCTTTTGCCAGGTTAATTCACATTTATGTTAGGTCTTTGTTTACATTTATCCTCCAAAATGATTCTTTTTGTATCAGAAGTCAAACTCAGGATGTTGGATTTGCCGCAGGCAGGTGCTTGTGCCACTGAGCTATATCCCCAGCCCATTTAAAATGATTCTTGATTGCTAGCATTTGTTAGCACGTAGTAACCCAATCCTTTTATTTGTGTATAATTTACTGAAAGTTTAGAACCCACTTCCCATATTAGTATAAACTTGGAAAGTTCAGGGTTGCTTAGTAAAGCATGGTTAGCATACAGTAAATTAAACAGATTACAGATCTGGCTGGGCATTGTGGTGCATGACTGTAATTCCAGCTAATTGGAGGTTGACCAGGATGATTGTGAGTTTGAGGCCAGCTTGGGCAACTTGGTGAGGTGCTATTTTAAAAATACACACACACACACACACACACACACACACACACACACACACACACCCTTGGTTCATGAACATAATTAGTTCCAGAAACATTCTTGTAACCTCAGCACTTGTATGTCAAAGTTAATTTTCTTACTAGAAATAATAGAAATTGAGATGGGTGATTCTACAAGCTAGTATTACAATTCTGTAATATAATGCAAAATAATAAAAAAATAAAAATAAATTCACCTGCACTTACCTTTGAAAACTCATGGCTGGTGTGGGGAAAAACGAGAATGGCTATTGTGTAGGACGATTTTTACTATCACTATCACTAATGATGGAGTTATCTATTGGCTCAGTGGAATTGTTTTCTTTTTGGGAAATTTTAACAAAGAACCTGTCGAATGACACTCTTGTCTCCATTTCAGGATTTTGCAGAAATGTGACATTCCAATGCTGTTGGAACAGGTTCACCACTCACACTGCTACAGCCTTATGAGTGCTGTTTTTCTGTAAAATTTTGCAGTGTTGCCTTTGTCTTACACATGTTCCTAATCTCATGTGAAGTGAGGGACTCTTCCCTCTTTTTCTCCTCTGCAGATGGGAACTCTGTAACTGCCTGCTGCTGGAGGGCGATCTCCACAGTCCGGTATGGAGAACTGTTGGCTCAGTGGTGATCATATAGCGTTCAGCATCACACACTGCTCTTACTGTAAGACACTGCTTGTTTATTGCATTAAAATTTGTTAGAAATATTTGCTTGTCTTGAGGATCAAGTTACTTGCAATCCAGTGGTTGTAAGATATATATTTATACAGATCTTATGTGTGTAGTTTGATGTGTTAGAACATGTAGCTATGGAAGTGCCACCCTAAACAAGAATTGAGCACTTCCATCACTTAGATACCTGGTGCCCTTCAACCAGTTACTACCACCTACCCAGGGAACCACTTCCTGGCTTGTCGCCACCTAGTTATGGATATATTTTTGAATTTCAAACTACAGGAATCAGTGTGTTCTTGTGTACTTAGAAAGAAGCTGTCTTCTTTCATATATGTATATGGATTTGAATACATAGGTACTGTACTACTGAACTATATTCTAAGTTTTCTTGCCTGCATATAGTTGCTGAAGCAGGCCTTGAACTTTTGACCCTCTTCCCTAAATTCTGGGATTATAAATGTGTGACATTGTGCTTGGCAAGACTGTTGAAAATTTACATACTGGGGTGTCTTGATCTTATGGAAAGATGAATTGATTAAGAAGCCGAAATTGTATAGTTATTTTAAGGCTCCTTGGCATCCATGTATCACTGTCTTTTATGTCTGACTTAGAATTTCTTGGTGACTACTGGGCAAAACCTTTAATTGTATATTAGGGTTGATGGACCTCCAGCTTCTGATAACCTGATGGCTGGAAATGAGGGTATGCCTGAATCCTATAGGAAGTTCCCCTTCCTTATTTAAGACACCTGAATCTCATGTAAGTTTTCCCACCTTTACTTCACTCACTTGATAACCTGCCTAGTTTATTTTAGGATTATAAAAGGCTCATGTGCTCTCTTGATGGAAGAACTGTCTTTCAGGGAAACTGTATCCTTTGGGAGCTCATGTTGTTACCCTGAGTTTGTGTTTCCACTTTTGGTCATTGTGTGGGCTCTGAATGAACTATCTCATTTCAGATTTTATCTTTTT